TGTTTTCAAGATTCATCCATGTTGTAGCATGTAGCAGATCTTCATTTCCTCTTAAGATTACACTTGTATTATACACTACATTATACACTACATTTTGTTTATTCATTCATCTCTTGATGGACACTTGGGTTATTTCAGTGGTTCTCAACCTTCTGGCCCTTTAAATACAGTTCCTCATGTTGTGACCCAACCATAAAATTATTTTCGTTGCTACTTCATAACTGTAATGTTGCTACTATTATGAATCATAATGTAAATATCTAATATGCAGGATGGTCTTAGGCAACCCCTTTGAAAGGGTCGTTCGACCGCCAAAGGGGTCGCGACCCCCAGGTTGAGAACCGCTGGGTTATTTCAACCTTTTGGTTTTTGTGAACAATGCTGCAATGAACACTGGCATACAATTATTGAGTCCCTGCTTTTAATTCCTTTTGATATAAACCTTGAGCTTTCAATACTTGATTTTGATGTGTCTGGGTGTAGACTTCCTTTAATTTATCCCACTTAGATTTTATGAAACTTCTTGTATATGTAATGATTTCATCATATTTCAGAAGTTTTCAGTCAGTATGTAGTCAATAGTTCTCTGCTTTTTTCCCTCCTCTCCTTCTGTTACTTCCATTACACATATGTTTTCATGCCTAATGGCGTCCCTCAACTCTCTAAGGCTCTTTTCAGATTTATTCATTCTTTTTTCTCTCCATTCCCCATATTTCATAATCTCTATCAATCTATATTTACTATTTTCTGATTCTTCCATCTTTCAGTTCAAATTTATTGTTGGGCTCCCCTTGTGAATGATTATCCAGCCATACCCTTGATGTTCTTTCCAGAACATGCTTTCTCAAATTTTTGCAATATGGATATGCTGAGAATTTTTCTAAACTTTAGTTTTGGTTTCTTTTTCTAATTCATTACCCAGTTCTGCAATTTCAGGAATTTTTTACAGCAACACCCTACTTCCTGGTACCAAAATCTGTATTTGTTTTCTAGGGCTGCCACAACAAAGTACCACAGACTGGGTGACTTAAACAACATAAATTATTTTTCCCCACAATTCTGACAGTGAGAAGTCTGAGAACAGGGTGTTGGCAGGGTTGGTTTCTTCTGAGGCTTTTCGTCTTGGCTTGTGGATGACTATCTTCTTCCTGTGTTTTCACAACGTCTTTCCTTTATCCAGGTTTTTGTTCAAATATCATTTTCTTATCAGGACATGAGTAATTGTGCATTATGGCCCACCCTAATGTCCCCATTTTAATTTATCTTATGAAAGACACTTTCTCCAAATACAATTACATTATGAGGTACTGGGAGTTAAGATTTCAACATACGAATTTTGCAGGACACAATTCAGCTCATACATCCTTCTTGGCATGAAACCTGCATCCTATGAGCAAGCTGGGGCGTGGGCTCTCCAGGCCCAATATTTTCAACCTGGCACCAACCATGGTATAGCTTCCACTCTAAGAGTAAGGGCGAGTTGGGGTAAAAGGGCTTCAGCTCTTTTGGCTGAACTTGCCTGGAATAGAGCTTCTGTAACCCAAAGCTGAGAGTATTAGAGATGCCAGTAGCCTACTCTCCCAGGGAAAAACTGTCACCCTAGTCTGGGAGCTAGGAGGAGGGAGGAAATCCCATCTTCTTGTTCATAGCTGCCAAAAGTAGAGTTCTATCTTTCCAAGCTGGGGGATGGCTGGTGGTGTTAGGAGTGGGACATGGCTCAACTGGCACAGACTCTTGCTGTTCTTACCAAGACTTATTAGGTTTTCTTGAATAAATGTTTCTTCATTTGCTCTATGTCAGAACAATTTACAAAGAAATTAAATATTAAAAAAGATTTTCACCACTGAAGTGATTGTTTCATTGGTGGAATGTTCTGCCAAATCCTTACACCACCATTCCAGAAGTCCTGTCTCTTGCTTCTTGAATCAGCTAGGATAGTTTGTGGCTTTCAAAGAATTTGCTTATTTTATTGAAGTTGCTGAATTTATTGGCATAAATGTGTCCACTATATTCGCACATCTCTTTCAATGTTTAAAGGATCTATAGTGATGCTTCCTCTCTTTCCTGATATTAGCAGTTTGTTTTTTCTCTTTTTATCCTGGTTGGCCTTGCTTGAGCTTTATCATTTACCTTGACCTCAAACCAAACATTTTTTTTTGTTTAATAGATTTTCTCTTTTTTGTTATTTTCATTGATTTGTCATCTTTCCCCTTTTTCTGCTTATTTGGATTTATTTTGTTCTTTTTCTAGCTTCTTAGCTTTAACCATTGATTTGAGATTTTTCTCTTTTCCCCCCCAATATGAGTGTTTATGCTATAAATTTCCCTCTAAGACCTATTTAGCTCCATGCCACAGATTTTGATATGTCATGCTTTCATTTTTATTCTGTTCAAAATATTTAAAATTTCTTCTTTGATTTCTTGTTTGATCCATGAGTTATTTAGTAATATGTTTAGATCCCATGTATATGGGGATTTTTCAGATATCTTCCCGTTATTCTTTTTAAGTTTAATTCCATTGTGGTCAGACATTATAGTTTGTATGATTCGACATGGACAACAGTGTGGTGATTGGGGGGGACGGGTGGAGGTGGAAGAGTGCATAGACGTTAAGTGGTGATGGAAAAAATAAAAAAAATTTAAACAAAGTTGAAAAACCCTATAAATCAGCGGTTCTCAACCTATGGGTCGTGACCCCTTTGGGGGTCGAACGACCCTTTCACAGGGGTCGCCTAAGACCATCGGAAAACACATATATAATTACATATTGTTTTTGTGATTAATCACTATGCTTGAATTATGTTCAATTTGTAACAATGAAATTGGGGGTCACCACAACATGAGGAACTGTATTAAAGGGTCGCGTCATTAGGAAGGTTGAGAACCACTGCTATAAATGGATATTTAAAGTACTTACATTATTTAAATTGCATTGTTTACCATGAGAGAACTAAAATACTGGAGTAAATAGTTCAAATTATCTAAATCTTCATCTATCATAAGATAAATGAATAAATGTCAAAAATTGATAAAACAATTAGCCCCAGCCAGTGTGGCTCAGTTGGTTGGAGTGTTGTCTCATGCACCGAAGGGTCTCAGATTCAATTCCCAGACAGGGTCCATACCCAGGCTGAAGGTACAATCCTGGCCTTGACAAAGGCCAATCTTTACCTTAAGAAGCCTGTCTATTTTATTGTCCTTTTGCATCTAAGATAACATACCCTTGGAATTCAGAGAAATGTTTTCAAGATGCCTCAGGGCACACCCACACACCAGAGCCCAAGACCACAGAATCCTTCATTGCTATCTTGTTCCCGGAATACCTTGTCTACGTGCTGTAAATTAGCGTAAAAATTGTTAACTATCCATCAATGTAAAAGAAGTATGTATCTCTGCGTTTTACTCTTTATCCAAAGTCAGAGATCCCCCCCCCCCACTTCGCTTTCTCCTGCCTCCCTAATCTACCACCAATGAATTTTATGTAACCCTCCTTATGTTTCTTCCTTTGAGTCTAATGTATAAAATAAGCTGTAAAACTGCCATTCTCTGAGCATTTTCTCAATCCCTTGAAATTTTGCTTCCTGGCAATAGTCATCAGTTTGGCTCAAACTTATACAAATTCTCTATATGTTTGGATGTTTCTTCTGTCAACACTGCCCTCCAAAAATTTCTCACTTTTACTATTTGTTTGTTTTAAAAAAATATATATTTTATTGGTTTTTTACAGAGAGGAAGGGAGAGGGATAGAGAGTCAGAAACATCGATGAGAGAGAAACATTGATCAGCTGCCTCCTGCACACTCCCCACTGGAGATGTGCCCGCAACCAATGCACATGCCCCGACCAGAATCGAACCCGGGACCCTTGAGTCCGCAGGCTGACACTCTATCCACTGAGCCAAACCGGTCAGGGCTCGCTTTTACTATTTGTGATCACTAATAGGGATCAGCAGGAAAAACTCCCCAGAAGATGGTGAAATATAAAAACAACAACAAAAAAGAAGAAAAGGTGGTCTTCTGTATTACCCTTACCTAAGACAAACATTGAGAAGCTGACATTTTTAAAGTAAAAATGTTAGGAATTTTGTGCTGCATATATTCAATTTTTATATTATAAAAAATACTAGTTTTATAATAGGAGGCAGTGGACGTTTGAATCCTGGCTCTGCTGATGGTTGTGAGGCTTTGGTCAAGCGACCCAACCAACCTTTCTAAGCCTTAAAGGGTATTAGCACCTACCTTTACTATTAGACTTGAGGCACCTCTCACTGACACCAGAGAGGTGTTACCAGATAGCCCTGAGTCAGTGGGAGAAGGCTGTTCCCAATCTCAATCCTTGTCTTCTCATATAAATGAATTTATACTAGAGATCTTGGCTGTGTTGTGAAAAACTAGTTTATTAAAGCATGTACCTTTACTGAAAAAGCAATGCAAGCAAACCTATACACCTGGTTTATGAAGCACTGATAGGCTCTCAGCTAATTTGAAGAGCGAGTTGGGTGGGGGTAAGAGGCGTTATATACCCTCCTGTCTATCTGTTAGGTTACTGCTTTTTCAGGGATATAGGTTTCAAAATTCCTTTGCTGAATATTTTGGTACAGATTAATTCTCAAGGCCCTTTTTTACTTTGTTGTGGCCCTCCCAGAATTCTGGAGAAGCACCTGACAACTTTATCTTGCCAAGCCTGAGACTGCTGGCTTCTCTGCTGAGGGAGTAAAATGCCCTTTTTTCTTTTCTCCTTTCCCCCTCCCTTTCTGCATTCACTTGTTAGGGAGGTTTTTAACCATTTGCTCTCGTGTCCTTGGCTGGGGAAAATAATGGCTTGTTAGTTATAAATTGCTGCAAATTGCCCACACTGTCTGGCCTTGTTTTAACTTTCCCGTCACAGTTTCTCTATTCTTCCTGCCCTGGAATCCTGTGACATTTACCAATGGTTGTGTAGTCAGATAATCGAATAAGACCAATTTAACACAGTGCCCTACATTTATTTACCAAGCTTCGGCATGCTCCTATCATTGTTAATAGTAAGTGAAGCCAGTATCCCCGTGTCTCAGTCAAAGCCTTAGAGATGCAAACGGAAGAGGACGCTTCGTTGGAATCTTGCTCACAGGCTGGTATTAGTCAGGCATTTAATAGCCGGACCCTAATCTTTCATTTAACTTAAAAAACAACATTAAAAACATATAACAACGACCAAAAATATTAAAACCATACAATTGTCCGTACCTATTTGCACATATTCAGTTTTATTTTCTTATCTCACCATATGCGATGACCCAAGGTCAAAGCTAATCATTTAGAAGAGCGTTATTTTATTCCAGGCTCCAGGTTGAGCTCAGAGAAGACTCCCTCAAAAAACTCAAAGATTCCCTAACGACAGCGTATTTACTGGGGGCGCAAGAGGACGTAAGTTAAAAGTCCGACCTCAAGAATCGAACTCTCAACAGAAGATCACAGGCCCACGTCCCCCCTCCTCCTCCAAAAGCCGGACTCCAGGTTCCAGGCGCGACGGGGGCAGACCGCGCCGCGGACGCTGCAGTACGACAGGGGCGGGGCCGCGGC